TGTTTTGATAAAAAATAAATAATGTCATTAAAAAATGGAGTGTGTATATATATAAAGAATAATAATAAAAATAATAATATAGTTTTTTATATTAGTAAAAAAAAATACAAAAAAAAAAAATAAGATAAGAAATTGAGAAAATATGAAAAAATATATATATAAAAAAATATACAAAACATATGTATATTAAAATGGCAATATATTTTTAATAAAATATATGCTATCTGTTAATCTATTTAAATAAGAGAAAATAAAAGAAAAAATTTTAAAAATAATCAGTGCTTAAATTTAAAATTAAGCATAAATATTTGTTAGTATCAAACCAGTTTAAATATTTAGTTATACCTGTTTTAAATGCAAATCAGTTTTATAACTTAGAAACTGAATAATGTATTCAGTTCTAAATGCTAATTTCTAGTAATAATAATAACTGTGTTATTATAAAAACATATATATTATTTATAAATTAGATAAGAGATATTCATAATCCTTATAATATAAATAAAATGGTAAATAAATTACTATATTATAAAAAAAAATTATATATTAACAGAATGAGTATAAAGAGATAATTATAATAACATAATATTTTCTTATTTAAAAATTTGTGTAATATTAAAATTACAAATAGATATAATATAAAAATTAAGATTTTAATTATATGAATGAATGGTATAAACCAATATGATAGTAATATAAAAAAAATGGAAATTAATATAAAAAAAATAAAAAGAAATAGAAAATTAATGTGATAAAAATATAGAAAAGAATAAAAGTAATAAAAAAAAGAATATAAAAAGATAAAATAGAAATACAAAAAAGTAAATATTAAATTTTAATTATAATTCATTTTTTTTTAAAAGAATTTTTGATATATTTTAGACTTAATATAATGAAATTTATTAAGTATATTATTGAAGTTGATTATCTTTGATATATTTAGTATCTTTACTATAATAAGTTTATTTTAGTATTTTAGATATTATATAAATAAGTTAGTATTAAACCTTTATTAGATAGTGAAAAAGGTGAGAAAAGCAATTAAAAAGATGAAAAGTAAATAAAATAAATAAAGAATAAAAGAAAGGAAAGCATAGATCTCTAATAACAAAATTTTAAATAAAGATTACATAATAATTATATAAAATATATAATTGAATAGAAATAATAAAATAAGATATAATAATATAAGATTTTACTATTAGAAAAAAGAATATTCAAAAAGGATTTAAAAATAAAAGAAAATCAATATAAAATAAAATACAAATAATAGAAAAAGTAAGATATAAAAAATAAATATAAAATTTTTTTTAAAAAATTTATTTACTGATCTACTAGATAGATAAGATAAAGATAATCATATTTTTATATTGAATAGAATATTATTAATAGTTTTTAAAAAATAAAAAAAAGTAATAAAACTTTTTTTAAAGTAACTTTTTAAGTTATAGCATTAAATACTAATTTTAAAAATCTAAATATAAATGTTTTATAATTTAAGACTAAATAAAAATGTTTTTATTTAAAGCTTTAAATATAATCTAATAAGTCTGATTTAATCTAAAAAATTCAGATCAAATTAAGTAGGATTTCTAATATAATTTGATCGAATTTTTTATTTAAAAAATTTAATATCTCTTTTAATATCAATTTATTTGAGACAATATAGCAATATTCAATTTTTTTAAATTTTTTTAAATTTTCAAATATATATAATTTTTCAAAATAAAAATTTTTATTTTATTTTATTTATTATACTTTTATAATATGCAACCTTTGCAAGAAATAGCTGAAAAAATAAAAAATGAGTTAATGTTAAATCTGAATATATTTTGACCTAAAAATCATATTTTGTATATAAAAGTAAAGTTAAACTTTTCTGACAGTTTCCTCCTTTTTATTGCAAAAATCTTACATAATTTTTAATATTTATAAAAACCTTTTCTTATAAAGTGTTCTAAATTTTCAAAAATTTAAAGGTTACATTATTCTTATGCTAAAAAAAAGTGACTTTGATATTGCAAAGTTTCTCTCATATGAATATTAAAACCTTTCCTTTAAAAAGAATTGTATAAGAAAATTTCTTAATAACAATTTTATTAAAAATCTAATATGAACTTATGCTTATAATATTTATAAAATTAGAACTAATAATTATAATTTAAATATTCATAAGAAATAAATTTAAATATTCTAGAGATCATTCTTCTAATATAAGAGAATAATTATATTATTTTGATAACAGACAATTAAGACTTACAATAAATAATTAATATGTTAGATAATGATAATATGTTCACAGATAAATTCAGCATAATATATAATAACCTTTTTCTTTACTTTCTTTCTTTAGCAATTCAAATACTTCATCACTAAAGATGAACATCACAATTAAAAAAATTATGCAATTGAGTTACAACTTTTAACGCAATTAAATTTTCTTATGTTGCAATTAGGTTGTAACTCAATTGAAATTTGAAAATAATTATGGGAACCATCTTTATTTATCACCTAAAGAAAATAAACAAAACAATATGTCTGAAGATAACAAAAGTAAGAATATGTATTTTAATAAAGAATATTAATAAAGAAAATAAACAATAAAAATAGTAGTTGATTCCTTCTCAAAACGTATCAAAAATACATCACAAATATTAGTAAATCTTGTAAACAAACCATTCTATATATCAATAATACAAATAAATAATAGTAATACAGATATGTTAACAAATAACATATAATAAATACTTAATACAAACGTTGTAGAGTTAAGAAATTTCAAAATAACATATCATTTGAAGAATCTGAAATTGATAAAAAATTAGAGATTAATTCCTATTCTGACTATTTTTCTTTTGTCTAATCTGAAAAGAATACTGATGATATTAAAGAATATACTGAAATAACAAAAACAATCCTGCTACTTTACAGAAACCTGGTATTTTGCGACCTAGCAGTCACGTGATCTCCACAAATATTTTCAAAATTCGTATCTAACTTGTGACAACATCTTTTGCTAACTTTTCGATAATATCTTGTTAAAGATTCGATGAAAACCAGTCTCGAAATAGTAGAGAGTCAGAACAACAATCGTTAAAAATAGTAAATAACATTTAACATCAGCGAACATTAATTAATCCATGAAATAAATAAAAAAAGGAAATTTATTGATGCAATAATTATAATTTATGTTCTTCAATTTAATTTATATTACAAGGTAAGAAACAGCAAGCATTTCTAATTCTACGCGCGAAAAAAAAAGAAAGTCCAAATTGAATATACATGTACAGAACATCATAATGTTCAATTCCAAACACTTTTAAAGATGTACATTTTCACATATTCATTACTAGTAAGTTGAATATTATAAATTTAAATACACATTTTGAATAAATATAATAAACATGTATTTTCTTAATTCCCAAAAAGTCGAGGTCAATGGTTAAAACTTTACTTTTTCGGGTTTCACAATTAGTTTCTACCTCGTTTCAGGTATGGTCTCCCGGTCGATGGTAGCCTTTATTATAATCGGTAGAGATTTCATCCGGTTGTATTAATACAAATATATCATGTCATAATACCGATGGGATAATCTTAGATATCACCTTTTAGATATTAGCATATTGAATTTTTAAAATTAATTCAAAGTATTAAAATTTGAATGTATATATAAACGCGATGTCTTTATTTAAAAAAAAATATTAAATGTCAAGCAATTTACATCGAAATCTAGCGACAATATTTTGTAGAAGAAATTATCCATATATATTAAGTTCTTTAACCATTCTGCAAATTTTAAATAAGGATTAATGTCGTAGTATCCACTCTTTTAAAAGAATGACCGCTAGATCTAAAGCAATATGTAATTTAAATAACGGCTTACCTCATACGTTTCAATCGCCATAGTCAAATAAATTGATTAATATTTATTAAAGTTCTTTTTATCACTAGTAAATAATATATAATTTCAGGGATTAAGTAAAATAGTTTGTTCCAAAAAAAGAAAACGACAAAATCCGAACTTACATATTATAATTGGTATTTTTGATTATCAATCAGGTCGCAGAGTCTTTTAATCGTTATATACGAGTCAAAATGTTTATCTTGATTGTCAAGTAATATTAAACCAGTTGCTTCATTAAGCTCAAAATTTTGTTCCAAAATTTTTGGACTTTTTATGTTATACATATCGAACTTTGGTAATTGAACACCTTGTTCATTATATTGCTGAATATAGACTCATTTTTGTCGTAGTTTATTTAACAATTCGGTTAATTCAATTGCAGGTGGATCTGGAATAAATAAAAAATCATAGTATGTTAACTCTAACAGTTTTAAGCCTGTTATCTTTTTTTCTTCGAAAATTTTGGCCACTTGTGAAGTCCAGCATTCTTTTAATTGCGTTTGCAAGTACTTGTTTACTTCATGTACACTTCAGTCTCGAATTTCTCTGTTGTTAATAAAAGAAGATTATTATTTATAATTCCAAGAAAATACATGTGAGATAAATAATGGAATAAGATGAAACTCATGCTAGTTCTTTTTTGTGACTTTAAAGACAAAACCCTAGGTTGAAGAGTACGTAATCTAGGATATGAAAACCTTGAAATGAAACCAAGTAAAGATGACATATTATGAACAATAACAAATCAAAATCAATCGGGCGATTCTGTATGTTACATAAACGTAACCTATCTAATTTCGGATTTTCTAATTTACCCCATCTTTCTGATTGGTCGACATCATTTCTCGTTACTGATTGGCCGATTTTTATTGTACATACGTCACATGACAAATTGTCGTCAAAATTTTTATTGTAAAATTCCACGAAAAAAAATAATTTCCAATTGAAAAATAAAAAATCAAATAAAAAATAATTTTTGTTGGAATTTATTGATTTAAAGGACTTTTCGCCAAATTTCCTCATTGGAATTTATTGATTTAACGGACTTTTCGCCAAATTTCCTTATTATTCTCACATGACAAATATTTGTTTTATCATGTCAATACCACCAGATATTTATTCTATTTTTGATATAAATGAAGAAACTGAGGAAGCTAGTAAGGAAATTGATATAGATATAAGTGACGATGAAATTAATCTTATTCTTGATACTACAGATGGTATTGAGCATATGTGGGAAGGTGTTGAAGATGATAATACAATACTGGAAGGATCTAAAGAAGCAAATAAAATGAAAACTCACCATATTCAGTTGAAGAATATGAGAAATGGATAAAAAAACCTTGACATACAATTTAATTACGAGTGCTTGCAAAAAAAGGATACATGATGCAGCTAAATTGCACATTCTTTTTAGAGTTGTTAAACAAGCCACAATTATAAATTAATCATTTACACCTATAAATTGAAGTTTCATGCATTACGACAGACGCTACAATTTGTAGCTTTACACCTGAAGGTGACCAAAAATATCTCCTCAGGATACAAATTTCACTAAACGATAATGGATTGATCCTATTACATGTGATGAGTAAACGAATATGTTTTTTAAAAAAAATTAAAATCTATGAATTCCGTTTGAAAGAATTAAAAAATAGACGAAAAACACATTTAACAAATAAAACTTACCAAAATATTTTTAATACAAAATACTGTTAGATAACTCCAATTAAATTTTTTGATTTTAGTTTCAACAAAATTAGTTTGAATTTAAACAGCTATTATCAAAGTTGATAAGAGAAGTTTTAGTATATTAAAACAGTGACAATTGACAGACTCCGCATTTATTTCAAAAGTTTGTTTAAGAATATACTAAGCTAGCGCAGCCAAAGAATCCTTAATAAGCACTTGAAGCAAGTATATTAAAACAGTGACAATCGACAGACTCCGCATTTACTTCAAAAGTGTATTTAAGAATATACTAAACCATCAAGTACCCAGGCAACAACCAGGAATTCTTAAGACGCACTCAGTCATCTTCCTTAAGATGAAATTAAATACAAACTCACCGTTACAAATTTCTCGTCGTCTTTTTGTTTGTAAACGTTATTTTTATTTTTTTTTCAATAGCGTATTTTTCACTTTTAAAACAATATTTAAAATATTTTGAAGGTAAGTATCAGAGAGTTATTAAATTGTATGGACGCGTAAAATATAAAAATGATATTTTGTCGCGTCTAAAATAAACTCGGTTAAAATATATCACGTGCGGAATGTGTGACAGGTTAAGCCACGTCGGTGACGTGCTAACATCTAAATTTGAAAATTTGATGAATTGTAACAATTCACTTTCACCTTTTTTTTTCTAAGGAAAAGTTTGCAAAGTCGGATTTTTTTAAACTTATCTCACGTGGTCATTTCATTTTAATCTTAAATTTAAATTATTTTAATTTTTTTAAAGAAGATTTATTTTACGCAATTTGATTTTTTTTCTTTTTTGACGCGTTACTAATTTTCCAATATGTCACATTTTTTTGTCAGCGTTGACAAAGGTAAAAAATATTATCAATCAAAAAATTTTTATAATTGACTCAAATACCGATACTTTTAGGGAATTGTATGATGTAATTACAAAAGATCTATTTTCTATTACACGGCTTATGTGGGAAAAATCGATAATGAATGGATTTATGTTGAAGAAGGACTATATGACGAAATTTCTTTAATGTCAGAGTTAGAGTTAAAATATATAAGATTCGTAAATCAACTGGAGGAAGATAATTGTGAAATTAGCTCTAGAAATCAAGAGTTTCAACAAATATTTTTGACACCATGATGAAAAGAGCTCATCAACGCTCGACGAAATATTTTATACAATGATGTTATTTCTTTATTGAGAAAACAAACAAAAAATATGGGTGGAGTGGCGTAAATTCAGAGTCAATTGCTAAAAAATTTGTGGATAGGCTAGTTGCTCTTCTCTGGTATATAGATCCACACAGGGAAAACCTAATTTCTCGGTCATTAAAATTACCAGATATATTCAATGAATTAGAGCAATATCAATGTAACGGAAATTACAATAAGTTTATTTTATTGAACATCATAAAAAGAGCACATTCATATGAGAAACTTGAGCAACTGGTTAAATCATTAGAATCATCTATTGAACAACCTTGGGCAAGCGAAGATAAATGGATGGATTTTATTATTCAAGTTATTTACAGATTGAATATATTAAATGTATATCACTTATTACAAGAGGTTAATCAAGAATGAATACAATACATCACAGTGATGTCTCACCTCGCAATCCTGATTGTGATTTAAAAGTATACACAATTGAAGCATCTGATAGCATTCATTCCAAATATGAAGAACTCACTAATTTTTGCTTGAAAAAGATTCTTATAAATTTTGATCTTGATGAATATACATCATATGATGTAATACAAAAATACAATTACATCAAAAATTTGCAACTTAATGTTCCTGTAACAATTTACCGGTATTATCAGGGTAATTATCTTGGAACTGTTAACTATATTTGGAAGTTCCATTAAGGAGTGACCATCAATTAGAAACAGAAATACCAGCGTAATAGCAGCAATTAATGAAATTTGCCAAAATATTATGCAAAAGAATGCTTTAAAAAAGTGAGTTTTTTATTAAATTTTATAATAAGCGAAACTAATATAGTTTTTTTAAGATTCTCTTTAAAAAGATTACACCAGCTGTACTTCAAACTTTATATTTTGACTTAACTGATTATGTCTCTACAACAAATAATGAAATTAGTAAGGAAACTTGAAGAACGATTACGTATAATGATGATGCAACTTGAGGATCTATCAGCGAATTAATAATAGATTTAAAGGATAAAAGATTGATGTTTTCTGGGATGAAATAGTAGCATATTTTAACGAAGTAGATATTTAAGTTTAATTATTTAATGTATTTTATTTAGAAAAAAACGAACTTAAAATTTTTATTATTGCTTATAGAATACATGATAGACGGCAACAAGAAATTTTTGTATATGCCAATTTGGCCTACTAATTCTACTTCTACTCGAGCAATGCATTATACTGGTCTGTTCAATATTAATTATCAAGTAATTTCAAGCTTAACTTTGTAAAGATCATCGAGATGCTTGTGTTTTCCGTTCTTTAACATTAGCGGAAAGAAAATAGATTTTTGATTGACGTTATATTAATCAAATGGTGGTGTAACATAAAAAAACGGATGATCGGTATAAATTCATAAAAATTTTTTTTTTTTAAAAAAAAAAAATGGTTTCCCGTATTGGCATATCTTCATCAAAACTCATTAGTCGTTATGCAAGTCACTTTAGAAATCCACTTCCGGGCGATAAAGGTATAAAATTCCCACAATTTTTTTTTATTTTATAAAATAATATATTTTTTTTATTTAATTAAATTTTATTAAAGTCATTGTAGCGATGTCAGGAGGCGTCGACTCGAGTGTTTCAGCACATCTTTTAAAAAGGCAGGTATGAAAATTATTATTAATTTTTAATGAATAAATTTTTTTTTTAAAAAAAAACCAAAACCAAAAGCATAAAAATTAAAAAAGGGATATTCAGTCGAAGGAGTTTATATGCGTAACTGGGACACAACCGATGAAAATGGAGTTTGCACGAGCGATCAAGATTGGAAAGATGTTCAGTCGGTTTGTAAACAATTGGATATACCTTGCAAACAGGTAAATTAACTAGGTTTTGATCATTATTATCAAGTGGTTTCTCATAATTATTTTTAGTTTGATTTTACAAAAGAATATTGGTTGCAAGTGTTTACCAAGATGATCAAGGATTATGAATATGGAATCACACCAAATCCTGATGTTTTATGTAATCGCGAAATCAAATTTGGATGGTTTTTAGATAAATGTTTAGAATCTATTAATGGCAAAAATAAAGAAAATACTTGGATTGCTACAGGTATGATATAGGTATCAATTTAACATTATTTTTTTTTATTTCATATTAACTCACTTTGATATAAATATAGGACATTATGTTCAACTTGAACGTACAGATTCTGGACGAGTTAAATTAATGCGAGGTCCATTTTTATTTTCTAGTTATCTTCTTGTATTAGAAATGAAATGATTAATCCTTTATTTTAGGAACCGACATTACTAAAGATCAGAGTTATTTCCTATCGACAGTCGCAGAAGAAAAACTTCAAAGAGTAAATTTACATTCGATCATTTTTTTGTATACATGCACATTTTAAAGGGCTCTTTATTTATTCTTTAGGTAATATTTCCAGTTGGAGATTTACATAAGCAACAAGTTAAGTCGATTGCACGAGATGCGAATTTGATAACTTGTAATAAAAGAGAAAGCATGGGTATCTGTTTTGTGGGAAAGAAAAGAAAATTTTCTGAATTTTTGGAACAATATGTTGTATCAAAACCTGGAAATATTATGACATTGGACGGAATCGTTATCGGTAATCACAAGAATTTTATTAAATTAGTACTAGGAAATTTTTTAACAATTGTATTAATATTTTTAAATTAATTAGGTCAGCATCGTGGTTTATTTTCTTATACGATTGGACAATGTGTTAGAATACATTATGGGCCAGATCGGCATGTATTTTTGTTTTTTATTTTGCAGTTATTTGTCGTGATATTCAATAATAATTCTATCATAATTATAGATGGTTTGTTTTGAAAAAGGATATCAAGAATAATTCTTTAATCGTCGTGCCTGGGTCGTGAGTATCATCTATTAAATGTTTATATATCTATATAAAGTAAATATATTTATAATATTTACCTTTATTCAAAAGGGCAAATCAATTATTATTTTCTTCACAACTTGTGGCCAAAGATTGGATATGGAATTGGCATGTACCTCCTGAAGGAATCGGAGAAGGTGAGTGAGTATGCATATTTATATAAATTGAATGGAGTTCAATTTAAAATTATAAAATATATTTAGGTGTTAACTTGCTTGCTCAGATAAGATATCGCCAACCTGCTGGTAAAATTTATTTATTTAGCAAGTTTATCGTTGAGGAAGTTCATCATTAATGGTTTTTGCTATTTCAGATCCATGTATCGTTACGAGAAGGTAAGTATACTTATATAAGGAATCTTTATAAAGGATATTGTAAATAGTTAACCCAATAATACATTCAGATCTGACGATAGGTATATTGTGAAATTTAATACATCTAAAAGAGCCATCGCACCTGGTCAGGTAAGGACCGACTCAAAGCATTTCTTTTTATTGTAAAAATAATTAATGATCATGTATACCGTACATTAAAATTAGAATGTCGTTGTTTGGGATGGGAATTGGTGTATTGGAAGTGGAATTATTGAAAATTCATTAGCGAATTAAGGTAATTGAGTTTTTAAGTTGATAAATATTTTTCTTAATAAATTATAGATGTAAAATACATACCCTAAAATTCGTAATTATTTGCTAATATTTATTCGATAAATGATTGCCCCGACTTCATTTTTTTAAAAGCGATATTATTTAAGTTAAAGTTTTCCTATTTACGTAAAAATCTCTTATTTTAAATTTCAAAAAAAAATTTAAATGTGCTTGGATCGAAATAACCAACCATTTTTATATTGTACTAAAAGAATACGTTCTTTAATATTGTTATCTTCACAGGAAGCCTGTGGCAATAAGAAAGTAAATGCAAATATTGTCTTATTCAGATAATTATTCAATAATTAAGATAAGAGAATTCAACGATCATGATGTGTTGCCAGTTTTTTACAGTTGGCCTAACTTAATAATTTACTTAGTGAAATTATCAAGTTCACCATCGTATTAGTGTAGTTATTCATATATTTAAATTACTTGTAGGAATTTATAGTATAATTTATATAAGTTAAATTTTATTAAAGTTGAAAAATATTTTTAATGTCAAAAGAACATAAATGGGTCATTTGCTATTAATAAATCAATTTTGAAACATGATTTTAATATCGAACCTCCAAAAATAATAAATTAAAAATATCAATTTAAACATATAATTTGATTAAAGCATTTCTTCATCATAAAAAGTGCTTAAAGGTACAATAGGAAATGCTGAAGGTCCAAAACACATTCTACTTTTAAAATCAATGATATCTGTTATCAAAATATTATCTTCAGATAATATATAATTTTCTATCATTTCTTCAGGATTCTCATCTTGTTCATCATTTTCTTCTTCGTCGTCTTCTTTTGCATCATTCTTGTTAACACTTTTTTCATCTTCTTCAATTTCTTTAGAATCATTTGTCGTATCTTTGCAATTATTCTTTAAAGAGTTTACGTGCACTGATAATTTTTTGATGTGTGGTGACTTTGGATGAATATGAATTTTATAAAATTCCAAGACATCATCCTTAGTAATTGTTTTGATGTCTTTAACCTGATTTATATCTATTAAGAAAATGTAAATTAAAAAATCAATGATATTCAAAAATGACAAGAATAATTAAACAAATATAAATAAGCCACTTACTTTTATAAAAATCACAATAACCATAGAAAATCTGACTAGAATATTTATAAGATTCGTCCCACATATTCTTTTCTTTTTCCAAAAGCTGATCAATCAAAGATTGTTTTTGCTTTTGATACTCTTCCTCTGTCATTTCTTCAATAATTTTCTATTATGATTTTTTTCAATAAAAGAAAAATGAAATTAATTATCAATGTTTTTTTTTTTAAAAAAAAAAAAAAAATCTTAATTGGTATCTTCAAAATTACCTGTGCATTGATTAAAAACGCTTCAATTCTATTTTCCAAATAGATAGAATCTCTTTCACTTTGTAAATTAATCAATAATCCGATTTCTCCTATTGAAAATCTTGCATAGCTATAGACAGAATAACCTGACAAATGGAACGTCATACAAATACTTTTAATAACGACAAAAAAAAATAAGCAGAATAATAATTACTTGCTAACCTAATTGTTCTTTGGTTCTTAAATGATCAAAAACCGGTTCATGCAAGATTTGAGCAATTATTTGTAATCTAGTCACAACATATACATCCTTATTATCACCACATTGCAAATAATATCCAATAGCATTATTTAATTCATCTTTATCAAAAACATCTCTTTGACAGACATATTTTTTGCCTTGAGGTAATCTGATATTTCTACTTCTAACTAATCTATATTTCTCAAGTACTTTCGGTTTAAAAATATTTTCAACCATAGTTATCATCACCTTTACATCATCTTTTTCCATGTTACCAAATACAAAAGATTCAATAAAAAGTTGTTTAAACAATTCAGGGAAAAATGATTGTACATCTTCCATACTTATATCTTTTAATATGACTGATTGTTCTTCTGCCGAATAATAATTTTCTTTGAATAATTGACGATCATATATTTCTGCTAATGATGATGGTTGATATAATTTCGTATTATTATACCTTCTCATCAATTTTTCTTTTAATACTTTAAACCTTTCAGGCTTGATCACAAAATCTTTCATTCGCTTTAAAACTAACTCTAACAATTCTAATGTTTTATCATTATATCCTGATACATTAACAAATATAGTATCATCACTCGTTACATATGCCGAATAACCTATTCCAGCAAGTAACGCATCATAGGCTTCTTCTACAAATGCATCATTAAATAAATAAAGATACAAAACGGTCTTAACCAAATTTGATGATGTAAGGTTAATCAGTGGGCTATCATAAGAAATATATAAATATAAATATTTATTTTAAAGAAAAATTAATTAATAAACGGAATAATAACATAATACACTACTCACGTTGTAAAATACAAATCAATTTTCGCTTTAGGAATCCACCATTTATCGTCCTTTTTATACCAGACCCGATGAAAATCACCATCACTAATAATATCAGGACGTGTTTTTGGCTAAAACAAACAAATAAGTAAATAAATATTTATATAAATTTTATTCCATAATTTGTTATAAATGTTTACCGTTATGTTTTCTAATTTATTAACGGCAAAGTTGGTAGGAATAAACTCATTTGGAGGACAAAGTTTAAGTTCGCAAGGAATGACTGGATTTTTAAGTTTCTTAAATTATAAAAAAAAATTTAAAAAAATTTATTCAAAATGTTGTAACAAGAACAAGTAAATACTTTACTTACTTTAATTAACTCTTCATTAACGGGCGTATATTTATATTCAATTTTAAACCATCTTTCTTTTTGATCCAAATCATTTAATAATTTACTTGCGAGACCAATAATGCAATTTTCGATCCTTAAACAGTTGAGTAATTCAACAATTAAATTTGGATTATACTCGTAATCTTTAAATGGACTACTCAATATTCTATCACGCGTATATGGCTTGTGTAATCTATTCGAAAGTGAGCATGTATAAGATGATTCACTAGATTTTTCCATAAATCGCCAATGTATATCGTTTAAAGTTCGAATCTTTATGAATTTTTTTTTTTTTAGTAATATATAATTTTTATCATTTAGGAAAGAATGAACATTAACACCTTAAATAGTCGCTTACTTCTTTATAAATCCACTCCTGTGGACCCTCTCTTCTGAGCATTTCCACATATTGAAATGTGATTTCCACTACATCCTCATAATGTTCTTTTATTTTAAAAACAACAAAGGTCTTATCAAAACCTATTCTTCGTAGAGATACAAACTGAAAGCTGTAAAAATACCTACCTAAACCATCTTCAGTTAATTTAATACATATTGTCATTAAATGAAAATCAGCACTATACTCCATTGATTCGACATCAATGCGAGTTATCCAACCTACAATTAAATTCAACAAAAAGATCTCAAAAATAATTACAAATATATTTATTGAAAATAAATTTGCTTTAAAGATACTTACCCTTCTTTTTCAATAAAGAACAAATTGATCCAACTCCTTCATGACCTATTAGATGGGCAACATACACTGCAGCCTTATAAGAATTATAATAATTAATACTACTGTTATCATTTTATGTACAGTATGACACGAGAATATTTCTTACCTTTGCTTTATAATTTTCTATTTGGTTCGGTATAGGAATATCAATATTTAAAGTGTGAATATCCATGACCGGTTTGGCTAAAATTATTTTCTATTTATATCAAAAAAAAATTTTTTAAAATTGTGTAACTTCAATTTTTTTTAAAAAAAAAATATGCTTACACATAATTCTACATCTTTTCTTAGCGGAAATTCAACAGGTTTAAATGGTTCGATATTTTTATTTTGAATGTCAGAAAACTTTTCAACGACCCATTCAGTTAACTTATCCAATGAATCTAATGAAATGTTTTTTAGCAATGTTTTCATTTTAAAACGACGGAATTATATATATATATTTTTTTTTTTAAAAAAAAAAAAACATACCACTGCCCAAAATACATAATTTCATTAGATTAGCAGAATAATGTTTCTCATACCATTTAATTAGTTCTTCTCTAGTATCAATACCTTCTTTCATAGGTGATTCCTTTAATGTTTCTAAATTTCCTACAGAAAACTTTGACCAAGGATGATTTGGATTGGAATGTATCTTCTGTAATTGATATAATCTCCAATCATCATTTTGAAGATATCCTTTAAATTCTTTATTTCATTATTTTTTTCAAAAAAAGTGAGTCGTTTATTTAAAAGCTGTTTTCCTCCTTATAAAGATAAATAAAAAATATAAACAAAAAACAATAATGCTTGCTTACCAGAATCCACAGCCTTTAATTCTCTATCAGTGCAATCAGCATTAAATAACGGACTGATAAAAAATTGTGCAAACCTGTCTAATGCAGGCTCAAAATATTCGTGACCGACTTCAAAATGATAATTCGTATTTTCGTTATCTGTGTACGCATTATTCGATCCATTATGTTTATCTAAAAACTACGAATAAAAAAATTAATGTGTCGCTTTTTGTAATAAGCAATGCTAAAATAGCTAAATACCTCGCCATAGTCGTTTTCTTTTGGATACTAAAAAAAATGTATCTCGGAATGGTTAACGTCTATATCACGTGCCGTTACTATTAAATACATTAAATACCTTTTTCGTTCCCTGATTAAGTAATAAAATATCAATCAATCAATAAAATGAAAATTATAAACAGATTTAAATTCTTTTTACTAAATTTCAAACGTTACCATAAACAATAAATGTTCGCAAAAATGAGCTAGACCCAAAAGATTCTCCTAAATTAAAATTTTATTTGTTAAATAATTTACATCTTTTACGAAAGGGTTTACTGCATTATTCGAACCACCATACCATATCGGAATAAGAGCCGACATTAACATCCATAGAAGCGGCAGCTTTATCAGTTTTAGCATCATGAATGATTAAAACTTCAAGTTGATTAGTTAACCGAATTATTTTATAAGTACGGTCGTCATTATTTGATTTTTCGATTTCTTTATCGAACATCATATGAAGTCCATCGTTAGAGATAACAAAACCCGGTGGTAGTTCGCTAAAAACTCCATTAGAATTATCGAACTTTGCAGTGTTTGGTGCCATCAATTCTAAAGTAAAATGAGTTTGAAAAAAAAAAATTTTTTTTTTTAAATTTTTTTTTTTTTTTGTAATTGAATTACATTTTAAGTTAATCATTTGAGCTTGTTATCATTTGAGTAACAAACAAAATTTTTCTTTAATTTATACATTTATGGTTTGAAACTTGATTTATGGGTTCAAAATAACTCCTTTGTGGAGCATATATATGCTTAATTTAAGGATTTCTTCACACGTTATGCACATACTCACATAAAATATGCATGCACATATTTCTAATCAAGTCATAAATCTATACATAATTGAATTTCAAAATGTATCAGAGAAGGAGAATTGAATTTCAATAAATATTAGAAAGAAAAAAAAATCTAACGTTATCAAATTTACAAAAATAGCATTGATTTATAGCCTAAGTATATATAGAGTAGAGTAATCAATCTCGAATGTTTAATTTTCTTTAATTAAAATAAATTAATTGATTTTTTGCGAATTATTTTCGTATTACCTAAAATTAAAAATTTAATATAATTTTTACCACAATTATAAACACGTGTATTACACACACATGTATTTTAAATTTTTTTTAGGAAACAAGTTCACGTAAATCGGGAAAGATCATCCGCAAAAGTTGGCATCATTTAATAGAACTTTATTAAAACCACAATTGTTGATGGATGACGTCGAAGACTTTGCTTAGAAACGCAAATTTTTGTTGATGACCCTGATAAATCCGACAAATTTTTTTAGAACATTTCGTTTATTCTTTGGACGCATTGTGCCCAACACTTGAATAAATTGGCCTATACAAATGCAAATTACTATTTCTAAAATACCTGACAATTTCCTCGAATATTTGAATTTAATCTTCTAATACTTGAGAGAAAAAATGAAGGAAATATGAACAATGAATAGCATTATTTGTTATTACGAAATACATGGTTGTTTTTTTTCTTGAATTATAAACATTTTGATTGATTGTATATCACATAGAACACAACTCATAGAGTATATTTTATAGTGATGTTTGTTGAAATGACAAATATAATTATCAAATCTCTTGAAATCACACTTGTTTATACTTGCCACCCATATCTCATTCCATTCAAATTCTATATAAACATTACATATATTTTTTGGGGAAGAAAAAAAAATTTTTTTTGATATGTAGATCTTTCTAATAAAGTTGGTCGATTCAACAAAATTATTATCGTTTGTTTAATTTTGATTTTTTTGATTTAGTTCTTTTGACGATGGGTTCAGTTATAATCTGATTATATCTTGAAAATGCAAAGTATTTTGGTTTAAGTTGGTATTGAGATCGATGATGAGTATAGACGCTTCTAAATAAATGTTCGTTAGTTTTTAGGTATGTGACAGAAGGATTTGGAAGTAGGTTACTTACTTGTTAGAATGAATATTATGTTCTATGTGTGGATAAATGGATGATTTCGAAACATTTGACACAAAAAGTGAAATTAATGTTGAAGATACACCTAAAACTTTTAACAACATAATGATGAAATATTCTTTAAGGTTTTTTAGAATTCGTAGTTAAAAATGTATGTATGTAATTTAGTTTAGGTTTAATAAAGGTAATAATGCTTATTTATTTTTTAAAAGAGAATGTGATTATTTAAAATTTTTATTTAAAATCCGAAAAAATAAAAAATAAATAAGTTTTTTGATCAACAAAAAGCGTTATTTTTTTTTATCCTTGGGAGTTTTTTTTACATATTTACCTTGTGTATTTATAAAAAATTCACCACCCAAAAAATTTTTTTTAAAATGATTATAACAACGCGACAATGCTAGCCATATTAAATGGTAATTCATTCCGAAAACCGAAGTCATGGTTGTATTACATGTTTTAATTTTAGATTTGCCTTTTAAATAATTATGAAACAAATTTGAAACTTAGTGATTGATAAACAATTTCTTAATTTGTATATCATTCAACCCAAATTACAATTTGCAAAACAGATGATCAACAATTTTGCTTAAAAGCGTTACAACTTGAAACAATATTTCAAATAAGAAACATTGTAACTTATTTAGGAAACAATAAATATATTAGCAAAGAAGTTTATTTATAGTTCAACTTTTTTGTCTAAAGAAAAAGAACATTTTATTTATATTATATATGGTGAAATTTTGCGAGTATAAAGACTTCTCTATTTTTTTTTTTTCTTTGCATTGTTTATTAACGAATAATTCGTCAAATTGACAATTTAGTCATTTAATGTCATATTTTATCTTTTTTTTCCTATATTAGCTGGTTTCTAGTCTTTGAATTACAGCCTATAAAAATTAGGAATGCTCCGGTTTGAATAACATCAAAACAAAAATAAAGGAGGTTTCTTTGTTATTAAGATTGGATGATCTCTATCGGTGTCAGGCTTTAGTTACTTCTAAAATTACTAGCTTGACTATATAGTATTTATTTGTTTCGTATATAAATAAATTATTTTCAATACCATAGAAAAAGCAATATTAGTTATCGTCCAAGAAATTGTGTTTTTGTGTAAATTTATGCGAGATTAATAGTCGATTTTCGAAACGGTTAATTCTTCGAAGCGATTTTTTTTAGATCGCAAAAAAGATTTACTTATCAAAGAAATGAAATTAATATTTATCAAAACAAATTAAACAAGTTCAAAAATTTTACAAATTTTTTCCCAATTTCGTTAAGAATGATTCCGTTTAAACAGTTATTTATAAATTATAAATTAATTATATTACTTAAAAGACTAAGAAAGAATTTAAAGTTCAGTATTTACATTTTTTAAAGAATTAATTAATTTTATCCATTTTATAAACATTATTATTGGTTGATTACCTACATAATACATAAACGTGCTAAAGACTTTGTTTGCCAATCTTAATATACTGTTAGCTGCGACATACTCTATTATGGAGTAATCTGTCATTATCTCCTCTAACGAAAATAATGAATGCCGGGTTCACTAAAAGCAAAATAAAATTAAACGGATGATGGTTTTCGAGATTTTATTACAATAATTGAAATAAATAGAAGGAGTTAGGTGATTAAAAAAGCGACGAAGAAAATCATAACATCGGACCTTTGCAATAGAAAGGGGAATCTGCTAGAAAAAATCAATTGTACTTTTTTATATGCTAAATTTGATTTTTAGTTTTTTTGTAATTGAATGTTTATTATAAATGCATCTAATGCATACGTTTACTTGAAAAAATACCCAACACTCAAAATTTTTTCATAATTTTTATTTCTATCTATATTCTATTTAATAAAATAAAAAAATTCGTGTGTACATTTAGATTATTCCCTGTATAAATAATTTTTGAATTGCGCGGCATGGGCCTTAAAAAAATGTCACGAAATGGGCATTTGGCTGGAATTAATTGTGGTGCACATGTGACATATATTGGTGACAAATAGGATTTCACCTAAGGAACCAGATCTACTTTAATTTGATCGGATAACATGATCGGGTGATCCGGTTGATTACTAATAATACAATTCATTACTAATATTTCCATATAAACAAATAGAATATATAGAGACCGGTCTTAGACCGGTTAATGGGACCGGTCCTCAGTCCATATTCTGAGGAAGCTTTAGAATATTTAAACTCAATACCCACAGATATTGCAATTAATAATATTTTATCTTGATTCAACCTGGGAACGTAAAGATGTCTTACAATACGTTAGAAATAGGAGAAGGAAAAGGCGTTATACAAAATATATAATAAATTTAATTATACAATATAAAATATATTTAATAAAGTTATGAATTTTTTAAAAAATCTATAAATTAAAATTTCTAAAAATTTAACCAAGCTAAAAAAGAATATAATAATTTTCGGTTATATTAATAAATGTATAAAAAAAATAAATATTAATAAAACAAAAAAAATTTGTTAATTTTGAATAATTACAAAACTTTTTAAATAAAAAAAGTGCAATTTAAAATAAAAAACTATTTTAACAAGCGAAAAAAAAAAAGTTTCATTTTTCTTACGCAAATATGTACAAAACTACCAATTATCAGAGAAAAGGAACTTAATATGTTTAAATCAAACATATCTTTACGCTAACTGTTATGATGATCTACATGTCAAATGATTCAGAATCCGACAGTTCCGAGATCGACAGTTACAAAAATAAAATAAAAAAAACCAAATGAAGAATTTCTATATGAAATCCGTAATATTAGATTTAGATACAATTAAATGTTGAATGAAAAAAAACTGATACAATTAAAATAAAAAAAACAAATGGAGAATTTCGAAATGAAAATCGTAAAATTAAAGGATTTTGACACATTTCTTAATTGTTGAATGAAAGGATTGGATAGATATCGAAATGGTTTAAAGGCATGTGGTCTCCCTATCTTGTAATTTTTCCGGGTTTATAAACAGTATATATAAGGTCTTCGAGTTTTCGGCAAGTGAAAAAAAATTATTTCAAATTATTTTTATTATGAAGAAAAGTTTATTATATTACATTTTTATAAATTTTTCAACAGTAGTTCTTGCTGATTGGATCACCGTAGAACATGATTTTAATATGTGCGACCAGGTCGTACCTTCTAACCTTGCGGCGTTCCATATAGACGATGATGGCATTAACTATTCGACATCTCTTTTGGTTAGGGAAATTCAAACTATAAGTCATGAGCCACCATCAACAACTGTAAACATCACTATGTGGGGATGCACCTATGATTGCAGCTTCAGCTTTATGGTGAAAATAAACAGGGATGATCTTACGGTTTCGTCGTATACCGAAAAGAACCTTAACAACTACAAATGTATTATAAGTAATTATACGATTAAACTTATTCCGAGCCCTAAAATTACTCATAAGGATAAAGTACCGAACCCAGCTCATGCATTTCCAACTGGTCTAACTGCCCAATATTGCAGTGAAGGTAAACACCCAGATTCACCCGAATGGGATATTAATAAAACAGAACTTGTAGCTGAATGCATCGATTATTTGACTGGTAATGAAGTTGGAACGTACGCTGCATCTCTTCTGTTCGGTTCAGGCAGCTCGTTCAAACCGGATGGTTATGGTGTTGCTACATATCACATGATTAATTCGGCAAACCAGCTATTCAATTATTGGGAGAGACACCATCGAGGGTTCCATGATGCCCTTAGTGATCTAAGTGTTAAAATGACTCCCGATAATCTAAAAGAATTGATCCCACCACCGCCGCCACCGCCTGAACATAACTATCTCAAAATGATTTTAATTATTGCAGCCGTTTCCATTGCTATAGCTGGTGTTGGTATTGCTGGATCATATCTTTTAAGTGATTTTATTGCAAGTGGCCTTTCAATTGGCGAAGATATCATAGAAACCAATTCAATGCTTGCCCAACTTGCTGCTATAACAGAAGAATCATCAATATCATCTGAAGGATCGATAGAATCGATTGAAGAAGAAACTTGGATAAGTGAAACGGTAGAAAATCCAACCTATTTAAACAGATTCAGAAAGCTAATAGTTGATGAACTTGATTGCAATGGAGAAATAGAATTGTGCGAATCTTCTGCAATGAGAGAGATTTCGGCATACTATCAAAGACAAGGAAACCCAAATATTGAACAAACCCGTTCATCTTTGTACGAGGCTTCAGATTCCCCAATAAAAAAGAGGGATACGGGGGATACGAGAGGGATGGATAATGTAGGATTTTTTACGGTTAGCATGGTGAATAGATACTTTCTTCCAAGTTTAATGGACAATGTTCATCAATCATTTACCGGCAGCGGGCAAACCTATACAGATATTTCAACATATCTATCAGCCGCAAGTGAACATCTCCAATTTCATTTTGAAGATACATTACACAATAATTTTTTTGCTGCAAACAAATCAATATTAGCTAGTTTTACTATTAATCAAAGGTTGGATAATTATAATTTACTTGACAATGATGATGACATATATAATACTATTAAAACCAACACATATAACCATATGGCAGCATCAATAATAAGCAATACCTTACGAATAAATGGTGTTGAAATATGCGACACAAAACCTTCATTTTGCGGACAATCTTGTGATACTGGTCATATTTATTGTCCAACAATCGGAGATGATAACTGTATAATAGGTGCCTCAGATGGACAAATAAAAGAACTTAAGTTTCTTCGAGATACCTTTGATATATGTTCAACTAATACTACGAAGACTGGTTGGAATATAACCCATAATCCCAATTGTGATATTAAACAATTTCAATGTCAATAATAGGTCAAACGTGAATGCAATTTTAGTATCGATAATATTCATCGACTATTTTTTTTTTTAAAAAAAAAAAATTAAAAATTAAACCTAAATAGTTATTTTTGTTGAAAACATTTTCCAAGTTATAATAGAAAATATTAATATTGTTCAATCCAGTTATCATCATTATTAAAGTTATACACTCACAAACTTGCGATTAAGTTAATTTAATATAATTTAGTTGAAATTTTTTTTTTAAAAACTTTTTTTTCTTAAAAATTTATAACATAGATCTGATAGAAATAAGAAATAATAGCATGAAACTTAATTTTTTTGATTTTATAAATTCACATTTGCGCTAGAGCCAGAGCCGTAATGTTTAGTCTAAGGTCAGACAGGATAAGCGTATACGGTACGAAACATTTGATTATTGGTAAATTTAAACTTTGTAAATCCATTCTGCATGAAATTTTATTGCGTTATTCGTAGAGCTATTATTTAAAACTAATTTTTATTAATCTTTTTATGATTTTTAAATATGATTTATGATAATATAAAAAAGAAATTTTTTACTAAACAAACTTTTTTAATTATATGATCACGCACGTATGAATTAAATTGATTCAAATAATTTTAAAATCGTAAAGTTTTTAATCGATTTTATTGTGGCGCAGCTACTTTCTTGGAATCGTTAAAAAAAATAAAAGAAAAAAACGTATATATACTAATATTTACAAGTGCTTTAAAGTCCAAAGAACAATGAAGAATAATTTTATTTTGTGTAGTGTGCAAATATAAATTATCGTAATATTATAAAATTTATATATGTCTCCAGTCACGCGATACGCAAATTTAAACATTTCTACAAAAAATATTCTTTGGAATGCTTCTATTGCATCGAGGAGAGTGAGTGGATGAGAAAATTCTTTTGCAAGCAAAATTTATAAATTTACCTATACATGCGGTGCTAATATTTAAATAATATAAATTCACAATAAACAGCCGCCATTCAAAATTAGAGTATAAATAATAAATTTCTTAGATTATATAAATTTAAATGATTCTTATAAACTATTGCTCTATTAAAGTATTCGTTTTTAAAAAGACGCCCAATTTTTTTTTTTTAGCCAAGAAATAATTTGAATACAATTTGCACAATACTAAAGTTTTGTCAATGTCTAACTGAATTACAGGAAAAGAGCTAGAGATGTGATGTTTGATCAAAAAAATATTTTTTGATTGGTTATCGGTTTGTAACTATTTTAATTTTGAGCCAGATTTTTAAAATTTGTAAACTAATATGATGCTTAATTTACAGAGGGTTTCCGAACGCTATTTTTGGAACGACGATTGATATATATAAGAGGTAATGTTTAAATACATTTATGTTTGTTTATTTGTTTATTTTGCTTTAAATAACATTTTAACTTTAAATTTCCCTTTTCATTTTTTTTTTTGCAACTTACGGCTACTACTGCAACAATGGGAAAAAATAACGAATTAACTGCGGAGCAACGTGGTACGATAATTTATTGTCGTAAAAATGGTGATTAATATAGTAAAATTGCAGAAACTGTTAGATGTGGCAAAACAACAGTATATGACATATTGAAAAGGCATACTGAAACTAGTTCTACCAACTCCAAGCTTTGCCTCGAACGAACACATCTGATAGACATCACATGACGTAATCGTCTTAAACGTTTGGTAACAAATGAAAAAAGCACAAAATCGACATTATCTGCAACTGGAATAAGGAACTTTGGAAGAAAGAAATAAACCAAGAAGTTTCAGAAATAACCATTCGTCGTACTCTTCACTCACTTGAGCTGAGAAGTTGTGTAGTCTCTCATTTCACCAGCAAATAAAAAAGCACGACTTGCATGGTGCTTAGAACATGAGAGATAGACAAAAAACTATTGGGCAAAATTTTATGGAGTGATTAATTGACTTTTATCAATTCAAGCAAAGTCAAATTAGCAGGATATGGAGAGAACTAGAAGATGAATGTTCACTCTTGTGTTTCAGCCATGGTCAAGCACAGCCCAAGCCGTATATATTGGGATTGTTTTATGACAAGGGATGGGACCAATTGTACCAATTCATGGATTAGCAACTGGAAATACACATGTTGAAATACTATGTAAGCATGTTTTACCTATAATTAAATGTATGTTTCTAAGAAACAATGGTTTGTTTTGAGAAGATAATACCAGACTCCATAAATCTAAGGTTGCATCATCATTTTATACAGAAAAAACTTATGCATTCCACCCAAAGCATAGACCTAACCCAATTGAAAATTTATGGGTAGAGGTGGTAAAATATATTAGAAATAAAAAGAAAAAATCCAATTAGCCTTGCTGATCTTAAAAGGGATATTAAAATGCATAAAATCAATTTCAAAATGTGTAATTGAAAATTTAGACAATAGTATGTTAGCATGAATTTAGGTAGTGATTACAGCAGAAGGTGGCCCAATTTAATACTAGTTTAATAATATGAAATATAGCTTTTAATACCTATTTATTGAAATTTAAAAATTAAACATTTTATAATGCGTAAAAAAACCATTTAGAAACTTTGATAACCCTCTGTAAAATCATTTTCAGATTCAATACTGAATTACTCTTTTTAAATTATTCTCATTTCTAATGATAGCATTAGATTATGTAATTTTTATTAATGTATCTGAAGCTTTCTTTCTATTTTGTTTATTCTCAATCAAATTAATTAATATAAATGAATTATTTTATTTAAGACTTGTAATTATGTTTTAACATATGCTTTATAAAATGTGAAATTACAATCTAACAATGTAAAATACAAATGAAAAATATAACTAATTAAATTTGAAAATGTTTATCTATATAAATAAAATATAGATAAAATATAAAAAATAGATTCATTTATTACCTTTTACTTCTAAAGTGATTATTATAAAAGTTGAAAAATTTAAAAGCAAATAAAAATTAATTCTAACATTCGATTTTACTTTTTGAATCTTATAATCCTAAAGATTTTAAATTTAATGATAAATAAAATTGTACATAAAATAAATTAGGATATTATATAGATAAATCAGATGATATTATTAATAGTAATTTCATAGAAGGTAATTTTTCAGTTACTATAAGTAATTTATTGATTGATATTATAAAAATATGCTAAAACTTAATTTGAATTTTTCAAAATAATGATTTTTTTTTACTTTCTATATAATAAAAATATATCTCTAACTAAAGATGATTCCTATAATTATTTTCAAATTTTAATTAAGTTGTAACTTAATTGTGATATAAGGAAATTTAGTTACGCCACAAGTTACAACTCAATTATATCATTTTTAATTGCGATGACTATATTTACCTCTAACTATCAAAATTAAATTAAGAAAAAACTTAAACTTAGATTAAAATTTAGTTAATTTTTTTTAATTCTTATAATAAAAATATACCTTTTACTATTAAAATCAAATGAAAAATTGCCAAAACTTAAGTTAAATTTTAGATAACTTTCAATAAATAAACTGATTTTTTTATTACTTGTTATAATTAATTTTAGATAATTGATAGAAAAGTAAATTTTTTATTTTTTATTATTTTATTATTTTATTTTATTTTTGATATAGCAATATTACAAAATGTTATATTAAGGACAATTTTAAGAAATTTATAAGAAATTAAAATAAATTTTATTATTTTATTATTATTTTATTATATTAAATAATATATTATTTGTATTTATCATAAAAAATCTATTACAATATTTTAAATAATACTAATAACTAATAAATAGATTGAAAAATTATTTACTAATATCAAATGTATCTATTTTATTATGATTATATTATATATAGAAAATTATCAATAGATTTTGGTAATATTTTTATTATAATTTTTGCGAATTTATATTAGATTTTTATTATTAATAAAATTTTAATATTTAATAAATTTAATTAAATAAAATATATGCAATGAGCTGAATCTAATATAAGAATCTAACTTAGTTCTAAGTTCTGAACTAAGTATAAGCTAATAAATAATAAGTTTAGAATGTTCTAAGGTCTGGATTTAAGGTATCAGTTTGGATTATTTTTATAATTTTAGCACAAATTATTATTTTTATTAAATTTAATAATTATAAATTATATAATAAAATATTTTATTGTTATTAATCAATTTTATATTACTTGTAATAATAGTAGCATTTTATATTATAGTGCTTTTCATTAATCTTTTTTATTTATTTATTATAATAATAATTTGTTAAAAAAAAATGTAAAAAATAATACATATTGTTACTTTTTATAATTTGTTAAATAAAAATAAAATGATTAAATTGTTAAATTTTGTATTACCAATAATCATAATTAAGTTTATATTAGATTGAGCTGGTATATAGTTAATACCTATACCCTTTCTTTTAAAATCCCATTCTATCCCATTCTATCCCAATCCCAATCTGAAATCCCAATCCTAATCCCAAATCCCAATCCCAATCCCAAATCCCACTCAAATTCCATAATCCCAATCCCAAATTCTAATCACAAATTCCATAATCCCAAATTCTAAATTTCAAATTCTAATGTTAATATTATTTAAATTTATTATTTATAATACTTACAAATATTTGTAATTAATTAGTATTAAAACTAAATTTAGTTAATTAAATTTATATTATAAAATAAATAAACTTAATAAAGTTATAATAAATCAAATAAAAAAAATAATGATTATATAAACTTAATATTTATATTTATTATAATATTTATTAACAATCTTAATTTTTTTAAAACTATTATAATCAATGATTTCTAAATTATCATTATTTAATTCTTCTATATCTTCAATTTTATCATATTCAAAAGTAAAATTTGTTTCAAATTCTTCATTATCTTCAAATAAATTACTTCTATTTGCCATTGCTGATACAATTTGATCAAAAGTTTCATCAAGAGTTTCTAAAGAAATGTTTTCATTTAAAAACTTTAATTCTGATTTTACATTTGTTATAAGATATGAATGCATTTGTGCTATTGCTTAAAGTCATTCTATTTTAATTCTAAAATAAATTAAGTAATTTAAGTAATAATAATTAAAATTTAATAATATAAATTTTGTTAAATTACCTAGTATGCCGTTTGCTAAGATATCATCCTAAGATTGAAAATACACACTCACATGTTATATTATAAGGAATAATTGCATGCATTTGAAGTGCAAGCTTTCTAATATGATCTTTTTTTTTCTTTAATTCTATTGATGTTCATCAATTTGTAGGAGTATTAATACCTTTAACATATGGATCATTAAAAAGATAATCATGATTTCGATATAAACCAAGTTGAATAAGTAAAATATCAGCACTTAATCTTCCACCATCTTGATTTTTCCAAAGATTTATTGCAGTTTTTAATACTTTTTTAAAAATTGTTAGTTGAAAACTAGATGCTAAATAATTAAATAAATAATTAATATAATTAAAATATTTAATAAAATAAATAAAGTTTTAATATTTTACCTTAATATTTAGGATAAAGAAAAAATGCTAGATATATATATCAACATTAAATTCTTTTCATCTTTTATTAAAATAGCAATACACTTTTTTTTAAATTCTAAATATTGAAATGTAATTTCTGCTTTTGCACGTGTCATTTTAATTAATTCAAAAAAGCAATTAGCTAATGTAGTTATAGTAAATTCAAGAGCCTTTATAGCATTCTTTGCAGGACATAAAATTGTTTTTAATTGTTCAACATTATACCAAAATTATCGATTTTAAATGATTACTTTAACTTCAATAGCTTTAACAAAAATAGTTGGTTATTCTTCAAAAACCAAACTAAATTTATAAAGTAAATTTAAAAAAACAATATATTAAAAATACTTACAAGTTTAATACAATTTCTAATCTTAAAATTGAATCACAAACATCTCAAGCTATACTCCAATAAGTTTTAACTGAAGATTTTAAATTTCCTTCAAAAATTAAAGAAGTAATAATTTTATCTCATAATGTTGCATTAGTTCGATGTACACTATGAAAAAATATTACAATTCGCTAACATTTTTGAAGTATTTTTTTAGTCCATTCAACAGTAAGAATATCCTTTGTAACTAAATTAATATGATGTGCAATACATCTAACTGCTATAATATATTTATATTTATTTGTTAATTGTCTTTTTGCTATTTGCATTGCAGGTTCAGCATCAGTAACAACAGCTGTAAACTTATCTTGACCTATAAATTCAATTACTTTAAGTATTTGTTCTTTATTAAATGTAGTGGTATGTTAATCAAAAGAAAAGTCATTAATAGAATATATGTATTAACATTGAGTAGAAGTAATAATTATAAATGCATATATACAATATTCAAGAAGACTAGTCCATGGGTCAATTCCTAATAATATATTAAAATTTTTATTAAATAATTTTTAATTCTTGAACAAATAAGATAAAATAATATAATAAAATTCTTACCTAAAGTTAGATTTTTGCTTGTCGTAACTCTTTTTCAATTTTTATTGCAATATTTGCTGTCTCAGCATCTAATAGTTGATTAGATAATGCTGATCGTTTTGGTAATTCAT